TGAAATCAAATTTTGGAAAATGATTGTTTATTATTTAAAAATTAGCTGGAGATCAATAAGGCTGACTTGGGTGGTAAGTTTCAAGTTGACATGATTATTGCCTTGTTACCAAACTCATTCGACTCTGTTAGAGTGAACTAAATAAGGAATCAGTTTGAGTTCACACTCGCTGATATTCTTATAGAATTGGTAACAGATGAAGGGATAATCAAGAGTATGGGCGTTCCTATCAATCTAACCTAGTCTATACCATCTTCTTCTAGGCCCAAGTGGACGGGCAAAGCAAAGAAGAAGGATGATAATAGGACTAGACTAGCACAAAACATGGGTATTCAAAAAGGTTAAAGGGAATAAGGCAGTGTATGTTGAGGGCGAAGAAAACTGTTTCTTTTGTCGCTAACTAAAACACTAAAGGACGAACTGTTTAAGCAATGACGTGGCATAGGAAAATATATATTTAATCATTGAGCCATGTTATGTGGTTGTGTCTATTAATTCCTGATGGATAGATTCTGGAGCCACTAAACATGTTTGCAATTTATTGTAAGGATTTCAGGATTCCAGAAGCCTCGATGATATGGAATATATTTGTACTTAACCTGATGTCAAGGTTGTAGTTAAGTCAGTGGGAGTATTACATCTGAAAATAGAGAGTATGAGGATATTAGTATTAGAGAACTATTTTTATGCACAGAAGTTAGACGCTATCTTATTCTTGTTTCACTTGTGGTTTATAAAAACTGTGTTGTTATTTTGTAAAATTGGTTTTATAAAATTGAATAGATATGCGATTACTTCTGGTGTATTGAAAGATGGTTAATATACTATAATCACAAACTCTTAAGATTTGCAGGATGTAGAAACTAATGTTGCATCTTCTAGATTGAATGTTAAGAGAAAATTTGTTATTCCTGACTCATTGTATTTTTAATGTCTATTTTTGGGTTGTTATCAATCAAAATAAGATTCAAAGATTGGTCGAAGAAGGTTAATTACCTAGTGAGGCAGGGGAGCCTAAACCAAACTTGTGAACCCTGTTTTGAAGGATAGATAACTCTTAGGGCTTAATCAGCCAGATGAAATAGACATAAAGGACAATTGGAGTCGGTACACACTGACATGTGTGGTCTTATGAACATCCAAGCAAGATTACTCACGTTTTGGATAAGTTTATCTGATGCAACACAAGTCTTAAACTCTTGGTATTTTCTGAGAAGGTTAAGACTGATGTGGAACACATATTAGGTAAACTTGTCAAGACACTTCGATCTGATCGAGGATATGAGTATTTCTTGGGATAGTGCAAAGACTATATGGTCAATGAGGGTATTATGTACCAGTTTTCCGCAATTGACGCTAAATGTATTTAGGTGTCAAATAGGAATAACAGAATTCCACTTAACATGGGTAGATCTATGATCAGCTATGCTACATTATCTCTTTCATTTAAGAGTTTAGCGTTAATGACATCGATGCGCATTATGAACTGCATTCCATCTTAGTCTGTCTCAAGGATACCGTTGAGCTATGTTTTTTTACTAAATATTAGTTTGAATCATATGCACATATGGGGTAGTCTTGCACATGTGCGCTTGATATGGACAAGTAAGTTGGAAGCAGATCATAGGCATGCTAGATTTGATAGCTACTCTAAATGTCACTAGGATGGATTATTTTATGATCTCAAAGATAAAAGTTAATTGTTTTCACTCACTGTTTATCTATAGGAGAATCATATTATGAATCACATACCTAGTAGCATAATGTTAGAGAATTTGGTATGAGTACCAGATGTACCACATGTGAACACACTTATTATAGAGATTGAGAATAATATATGAATTCCCTATTGATGCGTTAGCATCATCTACTACACAGATTCTTGCATCGGTACATTGATGTAGTGGGAGGATTATCATCCAATTCGACAGAATCATGTTTTTAGGTGAGACCATTATGGACATCCCTGTTAAACATGAGTTGGACCCAGTAAGCTACACGGAAGCGTGAACCGATGTGGATACAGATCGTTTTGGTGAGTTACTATGAAATCAGAGTTGGAATCGATGTATTCTAATAAATTCTGGGATCTTGTAGAACTTTCTAGTAGGGTGATTCCTATGGAAGGCAAGTTAATCTACAAAAAGATACCAGAAGATTTCTTAGTGAATAAATCATGAGTGTGCAAGGGAATGTCATTATTTTTCTAATTCTATATATATTGATGACATCCTACTCATTTAGAATGATGTGGAAGTTGTGTCATCAATAAAAAGGTAGTTGTTCAATTACTTTTAAATGAAGGATTTTTAAGATGTAAGCTATATTCCTAGGATCAAGCTTTTGCAAGATCAGGTTAAAAGGAAAATAGGCTTATCTTAATAATCCTACATTGATAAAGTTTTGACCAAGTTTGGTATGCATAACTCAAAGAATGAGTTCTTGCTTTATTGATATGGATGGCTCTCTCTAGTAAGTAGTTTTTCAAGACTATCAAAGGAGATTGAGCAAATGAGACTGGAACAATATGTTTCGGCATATGAGAGTCTCATATATGCCATGGTCTATACCAAACAGGACATCCGCTACATTGTAGGGATAGTCAGTAGAGATCAGTCCAATACTGGACTTGACAACTGGTCTATTGTGAAAAATATCATTAAGTACCTAAGGAGAACCAATGATATCATATTCATTTATGGATGTGATGATATGGTCCTAGTCAGGTATGCTAGTTCTGATTTTCAATCAGAAGTAGATACTATGAGGTTCATGACTCAGTGTAAGTTCACTTAGTGGAAGGGAGATCAGTTGGTAGATTGTTAAGCAGATTTCAACTGCTGACTCAAACCTGTAGGTGGAATATATTGCAGCCTTAAAGGCGGCAAAGGAAGCCTATTAGTTTGATCTCACTGATTTAGAGGTTGTGGAGTATACTAGCCTGCCTATTGAACTATGTTGTGACAATAGTGCAGAAGTAGTCTAAACCAATGACCCAAGGTTCCATAGAGGAACAAGATACACTGAGAGGAAGTATCATGTTCTACATGATATTGTCCGGCAAGAAAATGCACTTGTAGTTAGAACATTGCATTGGAACACAACTTTGTTGATCCATTATCAAAGGTGTCATTGATCAATAATTTTGATCATCATCTGGATAACATTGGAGTTAGGTGCAATTTGAATTGGCTATGAGGGCAAGTGGGAGCTGTTGGGATTTATATGCCCTGGCATAGCAAATTCCTATCTGGATTGTAGTGATATATGTTCCTGACATATCTGAAATATTTATGATTTATATAATTGGTGAATTCAATGTATTATGTTTCGATTCACTATGAAATTGATAGTGTCCATTTAATTACAAGAAATATTTATATATATGTATGTGATGACAATCAATGCATGATATATAAATAGTAATTATAAATTGTTCATAGTCGGTAATTATGGATGGACTCATAATTAATTAAGACTTGAACTGGATCCGCGTTAGGTTGAGATATATTGCGAGAGCCGTCGTATGCAATTACTCCCTATCACCGTCATGGCATTTGACTCTTAAGCATGAGAAAAGTATAGACTCTTTTATTAATTAATAATTACTTTGATTTGTTCGGCGGATTCTTCGGGATCCTTAGACTGACACTTTGGGTAGTTATGTAATTAATAGTTAGAGGGTTATATTTTCAATATTTGCATCATTGCTACTTGTATTTATTTTGTATTGATTATGGTTGATCACAAAGTAAATTTGAAGGCCTTCGTGTGTTTTTAGACAAAATGATTTATTATATATTTATTTATTTAAATTATTATTTTTGTCAAACAAATGTTTTATTGTGATCGAGCCAGAAATAATCAAAGGTACCAAAATAAATATATTAATTAAGTAGTCGGATTGATGGCTATATTTATCCGATAACTAATTATGCATAGAGGGGTCAAAGTGCAATATTGACTTAGAGGTTATTTATTATTTAATTGGAGTTCAATTAATTTCTTTTAGTGGAGTAGAAATTAATTTATGAATTAATTGAATTGGGTCCATGGACCGGGCCAATTATTAATTCATTGTAGCCAATAAAATAATAGGCCCAATGGATTCTCACTCATAGCCCAACTTGATATTGGAATCATATTAGATTTGAGACATATGAATTAGAGATGGAGAAGGATTTGTTGTTTCCTTTTCTTTATTTTTATGTTGCCTATAAATATACATGGTCTATGTATATTTGAGTGGGTGATTTTTATGAGAAGGAAAAATGAATAAATTTTCTCTCTCTAGAAAATTAGGGTTTATGGTCTCATCTAATAGAGGCTCCCACAAGCCTAGTTTTCCAAGGTAATTCATGGAGGCTTATGAGTGATTCCTAAGGCAAAATAATTACCAAGAAGATGGAGATCCAAGGAGAAGGCATCTTCCTAAGGGATCTACAATAAGTGAGGACATTCACTTTAGAGGAAAGTTTTAAAGGTTTACTCAGACCTTTAATGTAAGTATTCAATCCATTAATTGAATGATACATCATATTTTTATTTTTGCATAAAACTTATCTCTATGTGATGAATCAAGATCTATGAATCAAAATCCCTTGAAAAGTTTTTAAAACTTGCACGTTTCCCAACAGTTTTTAAACAAATGCGGCCAGATGAGCAGTCCCCACGTCCAACAACTTCTAACTTTCCCCGTAAATTGTTTAGGCTTTGCAATTCATTCAATCGGCTATTTGACTCTGCTACAAACAATGTTAATTTCAAAAGAAACGTCAACTCACCCAATCCATTAGGCATGCAACTCAAAGCATCGCATTTGTCAAGTTCAAGATGTCTAAGACTGACCAATTTCTTAAAATCACTTGGCAATTCTTTAAGAGACCCACATCCATTGAGTTTTAAGGTCAGCAAATTTTACAGTGTGGTTATGGAACTTGGCAAAGTCTCTATGCCCCAATTTTCACTGAGATCAAGATACCTTAAATGTTTTAACTTGCCTATATAAGGCATCTTCCCCATCCCCACCTCCACCGAATGTAAATCCAATACACGTAACCTTTTAAAACTTGAAAGAACCTTTCAAAAGTCAACTTACCCAACATTTGAACATATTTAGCATTGGAAAAAAATGTCCGTAACTTGTTAGCTCTATCCAAGTGGGTCGAATTTACATCGGAATAAAGTGACATGTGACGAATTCTTGCATCAACATTTTCTACATTCAAATTCACGACATTTTCTACGTCCAAATTCACCATGAAAAATTTGGCCTTCGCAACCAATTGCGCAAGATCGTGAACAAGATCATGCATTTTGCAACTTATTACATCACCCCATTCATCTCTTTGGATATCTTGAAAAAGGGACCTCCTAAGTAAATCCATAAAATACAAGTCACCAACATCCTCCAACTGCTGATTTTCAGACACCGGTCCCTGAATGAATCCCTCTGAAATCCACAATTGGATTAATTCTTGCTTATCAATAATTTGATCTTTTAAATATAAGGAACAGAATGCAAAACATCTCTTCAGATGCGAAGGAAGATAATCATAACTGAACTTCAGTATTGGAAAAATAACATCTTCCTCTTCGGCTATTTTTGACAAATCATTGTTTTTAAAAACCAACCACTCATCCATTGTATCTTTAGTGTATAGTAGGCTTCCTAGAGCCCTTATGGCAAGAGGGACTCCTTTACACTTCCGAACAATTTCCTTGCCGATTTCTACTTGAAATATATTCTCCGACTCTTTTCCTTGTTTGAATGCCATTTTTTCAAATAAAGACCAGGACTCCTCCTTAGACAGGCCTTTTAAAATATATGGTGAATTTGATCCTATAACATTTGCAACCAACTCAGAACGAGTAGTTACTAAAATCTTACTTCCTCTCATACCACCCACCAACAGATCTATCATTTGTAACCATATGTCACGATTCTCATTCCAAACATCATCCAACACAAGTAAAAATTTCTTTTCACTAATTTTTTCTTGCATTTTATCCATCAAAAGGTTTTCAGGTGTTTTGTCCTCTATCATCTTTTCTACAATGACCTTCGCATCAAAGATGTTAGAAACACACACCCACATCTTAATTTCAAAATGTTTAGTGACCCTCTCATCATTATATACTAATTGTGCAAGTGCGGTCTTTCCTAGTCCCCCAATTCCAACTATTGCAACAGGTGACACATTCTGATCTTGAATATTGCTTTCCAATAAAAGTTGTACAATTGCCATTTTATCACCGTCCCTTCCAATAACACTTTCTGCACGAACAAAAGAGTAAGTCTCCTCTCTCTTAATGTTCTCAACTCGCATCTGCCGTTCAGTGAGGTGAAACTTTTTCCTATCTTCGGCAATTGCATCTAGTGTGTCCCTAACAGCCTTAATCTCATGAGCCAACTTACTACTGAAAATAAGCTGATTTGAGCTTGAGAAGAAATTGCGCACCTTCTTTAGTCTTTTGTTCTGTGTCGTAACCTGGTGTCGGAGAACTTGGGTGGAGAAGTCATCGAGCACGTCATCAGCATCATGAAATGCATCATTGAGCTTTTCCAGCCAGTCTGCAACCTCTTTGTTAGTGTCTTGCTGCTTCTCTGCATCAGCAAGAACAGCTCCGATTGTGGAAACCGTGTTTCTGAGTTTGACAAGTTCATCCTTCATCCCCCACACAAGTCCCATCTCTTGGAGAAGGGCGGAACCCAACTTCTTGACAATTTCACTTGCAAGTGCTTGTGCCATTTCTTTGGAAGAGATGCTGAATAGTTTCTTTGTGCAGCCGTAGAATGAGGCCTTGATGAAATTGAAAGGATTGAGAAAACTGAATGATTATTTATATATTGATTATTTAGTGCGGACACTTGGAATAATTTAAAAAAGTTTAGTGGACTTTAAACAACCCTACCAACAAGTCACTAATAAATTATTAATAACTCTATTTCTTTACCATTACGAATCTTCTCACGGGCCAGTGAATCATTGATAAAAAAAAAAAGAAAATTCAATTTGAGGCTGATTAAGACAAAAATGCAATCTGTCCACGAATCTACAAATTGTAAAAGGGATAGACTAATATTTTTTTTTTGTCTGGGCTGGTAGTAATAATAAATTTTTTTTTTTTTTTGGACCGGGCTAAAATTAGGTATAATTTTTTTTTTTTTTTTTTGGTGGGCTCAAGAATTGTGTCCATACCCTACCTTAGCTTTCTTTCTCTCTGAAACTTCACTGTCTCACTGATGACCTTCTTCTTCTCTCTGGTTCTCTCCTCTCCATTTTCTCTCTCCTCGTTCACGTCCTCACTATTTTAGCAATGGCTTTGGGCAGAGCCAAGGTAGCATCTCACTTCCAAATTAATTAATGACATAATTAATTAGTATTTTGTTCTCTCTATCTCATTCATATATATATGTGTTGGGTCGTGAAATACTTTAGGAAAAATTTGATTTTGGTTACCAAAATTTGAAAAGTAATTGCCATTAAGTGACCATTTAAGTTTTAATGTCCTAAATACCCTTCTAATTTCACAACAAAATACAACGGGCACAACTTTAAACATATCTGTCTCTTCACTAATCCTAAATATCTTTCATTGATTATAAAAATTACCTCCTGTTCATAATATTGGTAGAAGCAGTAACAGCCCATCCTTTACCAAATCAGATGAAAAGTTTGTTGTGGGCTAGTGGGTGTCGATCACTTGCTTAGAGCAGCCGCAGCGGGCTGGCTAAAGGCCCATTTCCGCAAGCAAGTGACCCTTCGGCCACGCACAACGGGCTAGCTTAAATCTTTGGGGCCCACTTTGCCTCGTGCGCCGGCTTGTGGGATACCGCTAGCCGGCCCGCGATCGTTATATTTTTTTTTGTTTTTTTCTTTTGCAAAATGACGCCGTTTTTTAGTTGCCTTTTTGTTTTATTCTCAAACGTCCTAAAACAATGTTTGGCAAAATTTTATTTTTTGAAAAAACCTAAAAATAGGTTATTTTGAACTCTTTTTTTTTTTAAAAAATTAAAATAAAATTCTTTAAAAAATATATATATTGTTTAGGCACTATTTGTCCAAAAAAATATATATATTTGGGCCAAAAATAAATTTAAAAACCTTTTTTTTTTTTTGTTTTTTTCCCTTAAAATTTGTTTTTTTATTTTTTATTTTTTATTTTTTTGCTTTAAATTTAAATGTGTACCACAAACAATACATTTAGTCGTTAAGGCACTGTTTCGCTGACACAAAAAATGTCTTAACGGCTATAATTTTTTTTAAAAAAAAAGTATAATTTTTTTTTTAAACTTTTAAAAAATAATAATAATTAAAATTACAAATTCATCTACTTATTTTGTAATCCTTATTTTCTTATTCCGATTCATTATTTTTAATCTTAAAAAACCATTACATAATGAAAATTCTAGTACAAGAAATGTCATAACATCTTAAAAGCAAACAAAATTGAACATAAATTAAATATCTTCATCATTATAGCGGTTCCACAAATTTTCCATCAAATCATTCATCAACCTCGTATTTGTCTCTCTGTTGCGAATCTGAAGTTGGCAAGAGAATATGTGTGTCGCTAAAACATATGGGCATCGACTTAAAGTGGGAATCGGGATTGCATCCTCCGGTGGCGGAGTCCATCTCCAACATTTGCGTGTTACTCATCTTCAATGATCATATTATGAAGGATGATGCATGTTTTCATTATGAGGCGCAAGTCGTCTTTCTCCTAGTAACGCACTGGTCCTTGAGTTATTGCCCACTTGATCTGCAATACCCCAAAAGCCCGTTCCACATCTTTCCTGCATGCCTCTTGTCGCTGAGCAAACAATTTTTCTTTTCCAGTGGTTGGGTGCGGGATGGTCTGCATCAAAGTTGCCCACTTGGGGTATATACCATCAGACAGGTAATACCCCTTTCTATTCACTACATAATTAACTGGAGGTAATTGGCCATTGACTCTACCGTTGAATAACGGGGAATGATCCTACACATTTTTATCATTGTGTTAACCCGGCATTCCAAAGAATGCATGCCAAATCCACAAATTTTGTGAGGCAACTACTTCCAATATGAGAGTATTATTGTCAGAGTGTCCCCTATGTGTGCCGTGCCACTCCATTAGGCAATTCTTCCACTCTCAGTGCATACAGTCGATAGAACTAAGCATACGTGGAAATCCTCTCTGCTCCCCTTCTTCAAGCAGCCATGCTATGTCAGCTTCGTTAGGTGGGCGCATATACTCCCCTAGATGCACAGCAATAATAGCATTACAAAATGCCTTCAAGCATTTAATGGCAGTGCTCTCGCCGATTTTAATATTCTCATCATAGTGATCGGCTGCACAACCATATGCGAGTATATGAATAGCAGTTGTCATCTTCTGTATAGAAGACAACCCCAGATGACCAGTCGCATCCTTTTTTTGACAAAGTAGTCATTATAAGCTTTGACATCATTAAGGATACGAAGAAAAAGTTCTCGTCGCATCCTGAATCGCCTGTGAAAGTCCTCCGGTGAATATGTGCAATTCTCGTTGAAGTAGTCTTTCATTAGCTAATAATGGCTTCCCTCTCGCTCACGATGAATGTACCGCTTCTTATTACGGACTTGAAATATTTGCTTAACTATCTCTAGCCTCATCGAATTCATAATCTCATAGAATTTGTCTAGATCCTATTGAATCAACGGGGCAATAAGGTCATCTTCCGAAGAGGATGACGAAGAAGATGAAGAAAAAGGAGTCTCCCAAAGGGAAAGCTTGTGATGATGAAGCCATTGGATTTCAAAATTGAGAAAGATGGATAATGATATTTTGCTACAATGGAGAGAGGTGAATGTAGTGATTATTTTCAGATGAGTAAATGAGTATTCATTATATAAGATGAAAAATATAGCCGTTAAAAATATAGCTGTTACGAATATAACCATTAGAAATATAGCCGTTTAGAAAAAGTTAAAAAAAAAAAAAAAAAAAAAAAAAAAACAAAACAAAAAGAGCGAAAATTCAGAGAGCCTGATGAAATGCATATTTCTGGAGAGCAAAAGCTGCTAACGTGGCTCTTGGAAAAGCTGATGTGGCATTTTTAGAGAGCCAAAATCTAGAGAGGCTGGTGCAAATGGCCTTAGACAAGGATATGAGGCTCTCTGTTCATTGTAGGATCATCGTTACACATAATCTGGTTTGTACGTTTGGATTTCAATGGTTGATTCTTGGTAGGTTTATCAGTATTGGGGATGGTTTTGGAGAGCGGGAGAAAAGAAGTGATGGAAGGGACCTCTGAATGGAAAGAAGGGTACTTTAGACATTAAACTTAAATAGTCCCTTGTTGGCGAATTATTTTTTAAATTTGGTCTCCAAAAACTAATTTTTCCAATACTTTATTGCTCCAGTTTTATTACTCACGATATTATCAACTGATTAAATATTGATATGTAATGACATAACACACTAAAATAAAAGATTTTTACTTATATAACTGGTTGATGACACCAAAGACGGACCCAGACTATTAAGTGAGGGGGCAAGAAAGATATTTTTTAGTAATTTTAGGGGGGCAATAGTAATATTTTAGAGGTATATGACTGGAAAAGAACAATTTAGTAATAAAAAAATTCAGGGCAATATTGAAAAAATATTTGTTACTCATGGAATCTGAACTTATTTGAAAATATTTTTAAAAGTAAGATTTTTTTGTCTTTGTGAAGATTTTATAAAACTTATTTATCTTTAGAATTAAAAAATAAGACTAATTAAGAATTTTCCCATAAAAAATACACCCTCAGCCATTGACTCGACCTTAGTGTACCATTGTTATTAGCGATATAGTGGTTGAAGTGGGAGAAATGATCCTTTTTTAAATGGCAAATTCATATAATCATAACATTTATTTATATGTGTCTGAACAAGAATTGTTCTATTTGCTCTATAGCCTGTAGTAACAATTAGTATTTTTTTAAGGGCGGCAAAATGGACTAAATATCGCGTGTGTATTTTGATTATTTAGTGCGGACACTTGGAATGCTTTAAAAATGTTTCGTGGACTTCAAATATATATATATATATATATATATATATATATATATATATATATATACTTTTTTTGGAATCGTGGAGAGGATAATTAAAAAACTACCTACTTGATTTTTTTTTCGGAATCGTGGAGAGGCTCTCTGTTCATTGCAGGATCATCGTTACACATTTTTTGGTTTGTACGTTTGGATTTCAATGGTTGTTTCTTGGTGGGTTTATCGGTATTGGGGATGGTTCTGGAGAGATGGAGAAAATAAGTGATGGATAGGACCTCTGAATGGAAAGAAGGGTACTTTAGACATTAAACCTAAATGGTCCCTTGTTATCCATGGTTTTTATATGTTTCAATGGGCCCAAAAACTTAAAGCTTGCAAAAAAGTTTTGATTCAATGGACCCGAACTACTAATCAAAATTCTCGCCATAATATTGACAATACTAAGGCTCGCCTACATTACTTGAAGGAGCGGTTTGCAGATTATGATCACGAGCAGGTCAGTTAAATTCCTTCTGGCAGCAGGAAGAACTGTATTTGGCCCAAAAGTCCAGGATTCAGTAGTTACAGGTAGGGGATAAAAATTCAAAATTCTTTCACACTTTTACTATTCGACGAAAATACCGAAATCATATTTCTAGGGTGGAGGATTCTAATGGTCAGTGGATTAACGCTGATGGTCACATTCAGGAACTTTTCTTATATTATTTTCAGGATCTTTTCCA